GCTAATGAAGCCCGGGAAATTCAAATCCCGGGCTTCATTAGCAAGTGCGGTATGCATACATTACCCTCCTAGTTCGAACTAGGAGGGTAGTGTAGACATACCCACAATTAGAAACTCAACCTTTCCTGTACACATCTAGCAGTTTTTGAGGGGGGCTGCTAAGTGATATTTTACTATACCCCACGTAACTATAATACTGTGTGCCATGATCACATTTGTATGCACAAGGCAGCATGAGATTTCTGGGGTTAATTCTTTGGGTCAAATCCTAAACATAAAGGGACTCATTTTATGTATTTTAGTAAGGTAAGGATTCCTCAGCAGATGTTGGTGACCAGGACTCATCAAATTTGCAAGTATTTTATCTCCATTTAAGTTTCCCTCTCTCCACTTGTAAACAGGTAATTTTAAACAATGGAGACTAATGATCAAATTGGTAAAATAATTTGCCATAGTAAGTTCTGATCTATGCTTCCCCTAGGAGTTTTCACAATTTGTGCGGTATAAGTGGTATCTTAAATCCTGTGGTTCTGTCTCTTCCAGATTCAGACTGCTTATGTTTTGTAAACAAGAGTCTCCTCTTTCTGGTCACAAGTTGCCTGTGAACAGTTTAGTTGTTTGACAAACCTATAATGCAAGCCAAAAGAGGGTTTTTTTTTGTGAAGAGATGAAAAAGCATTTCCAGAGCAAATACTGGCAGAGAGGTTTGTACTAATGTTCATGGCATGTTTGCTTTCTCAGAAGATTCTTATGAAGTCACCCAGCCCCAATGTCTGCACCTAAGAGGGTCATAAAACTTCAAAAGTGAATCAGCAGCATAAATGAAAGATTCCTGCCCCGTCCGCAAATTCTCACCCAGCTCCATGGACACCATCTGAAAACAGGCAAGTGAAACTGACATGTAAGACTGCTACATAACTATAGACGAGGAGCATGGATCACGATACAACACAGGGGAGCTTATATGGAAAGTAGGTTGCACTGAAAGGCAGGTTGTTGCTTAGCAACATAAACTGTTCTAAACTGCAATCTTTGCTAATGTGTTTGTTTTTAAATTCAAGAAAAAAGGAGAAACAAGCAACGAACAAGGGAAACTAAATAAGAGTGGGGTGTAGATTGTGAAGAAAAGAGAAAAAAATCACTAAATATTAAAAGGCAGGAGAGAGCTAAGGGTATACAATGAGCTATGGAGGGATAAAATAGATAAAAACAACATTAGGAAACAACGTTGTTCTGTCCTTGGTTGTTCTAACATGGAAATAGACCTTGTTTCTTATAGAGAGGGCTGACCCATATTGTGAGACGTTCTCCCACTAACATAGTGCTCTGCACACCCGTGTTTCTGTCAGTGTAGCTTATGTTGTTCAGGGATGATGTTTTCTTCACACCCCTGAGTGACGTAAGTTGACAGATGAAAGAATGAGGAGCAATGGTCTCAAGCTGCAGTGAGAGAGATCTAGGTTGGATATTAGGAAAAAGTACTTTACTAGGAGGGTATTGAAGCACTGGAATAGGTTGCCTATGGAGGTGGTGGAATCTCCGGGCACGTCTAAACTACATTCCTCTGTCGACAGAGGAATGTAAACGAGGCAAATCGAAAGTGCAAATGGAGCGCAGATTTAAATATCCTGTGCTTCATTTGCATATTTGCGTCCGAGCACTTTTTTTTTTTTAAAAGAGTTTTTCAAAAGTGAAAGTGCAGTCTAGAGACCATCCTTTTGGGGGAAAAAAACCAACCCTTTTTCGAAAAAACCTGTACTCATTTTTTTCAGGAGTACGGGTTCTTTCAAAAAAAAACAGAAAACAGCTTCCAGTCCCAAAACATGTTGGGTTGGAGAGCTCTTTCCTCTTCCCTTTGAAAATACATCCTGTATCTGAGAAGCCTTTCCTAAGTAAAGTTTCATTGAAACTGGTATCTTCCTATGAAAAGTTTCAATTTAAACAAACCAACGTTTTCTGATGAAATGATTCAAAATTTTCTGAACTAGATTTATTTGCAATGCCATTAGATAAAACTGATTTTTAAAGATTTGACTTTTTTCATATTTTTTCCTTCTGATGGCATCACTACCAGTGGAATTAAGGATGTTAGGGCAAGAAATGCACAGGTGAAGTACCAAACATGTCTGAATTTCCTTTAAGTGGAACCTTAATTCTAAATTTCCTCAATTTGTAATAGTTTGGGGAGAACTAAATCATACCTGAAACAAAAGACAGGACGATGCAGCACTTTAAAGACTAACAAGATGGTTTATTAGGTGATGAGCTTTCGTGGGCCAGACCCACATCCTGGCCCACGAAAGCTCATCACCAAATAAACCATCTTGTTAGTCTTTAAAGTGTTGCATAGTCTTGTCTTTTGTTTCAGCAAGACCAGACTAACACGGCTACATCTCTATTACTAAATCATACCTGTATTCTTTAACTCAAATTTCTGATTCACACTTTCAAACTTACCTTTCTTAGGGTATGTCTACACTACCCTCCTAGTTCGAACTAGGAGGGTAATGTAGGCATACCGCACTTGCAAATGAAGCCCGGGATTTGAATTTCCTGGGCTTCATTTGCATAAACTGGGCGTCGCCATTTTGAGGAGTAACGGTAGTTCGGACTAGGAAGCCTAGTCTGAACTACCTAGTTTGTGCCGCATGTAGCCGCACGGCACGGGGTTCGAACGAGCAGGGATTTAAAAATGGCGGCACCC